GTTTAATAAGTTCTTTATAGATTTTGGATACTAGCCCTTTATCTGATATGTCATTTGCAAATATTTTCTCCCATTCTGTCGGTTGTCTTTTGGTTTTGTTGACTGTTTCTTTTGCTGTGCAAAAGCTTTTTATCTTGATGAAATCCCAATAGTTCATTTTTGCCCTTGCTTCCCTTGCCATTGGCAATGTTTCTAGGAAGAAGTTGCTGCACCTGAGGTTGAAGAGGTTGCTGCCTGTGTTCTCCTTTCGAATTTTGATGGACTCCTCTCTCACATTTAGGTCTTTCAACCATTTTGAGTCTATTTTTGTGTGTGGTGTAAGGAAATGGCCCAGTTTCATTCTTCTGCATGTGGCTGTCCAATTTTCCCAACACCATTTGTTGAAGAGACTGTCTTTTTTCCATTGGACATTCTTTCCTGCTTTGTCGAAGATGAGTTGACCATAGAGTGGAGGGTCCATTTCTGGGCTCTCTATTCTGTTCCATTGATCTATGTGTCTGTTTTTGTGCCAGTACCATACTGTCTTGATGATGACAGCTTTGTAATAGAGCTTGAAGTCTGGAATTGTAATGCCACCAGCTTTGCTTTTCTTTTTCAACATTTCTCTGGCTATTCAGGGTATTTTCTGGTTCCGTACAAATTTTAGGATTATTTGTTCCATTTCTTTGAAAAAAATTGATGGTATTTTGATAGGGATTGCATTGAATGTGTAGAGTGCTCTAGGTAGCATTGACATCTTCACAATCTTTGTTCTTCCAATGCATGAGCATGGAACGTTTTTCCATTTCTTTGCGTATTCCTTGATTTCCTTCATGAGTATTTTATAGTTTTCTGAGTACAGATTCTTTGCCTCTTTGGTTAGATTTATTCCTAGGTATCTTATGGTTTTGGGTGCAATTGTAAATGGGATTGACTCCTTAATTTCTCTCTCTTCTGCCTTGTTGGTGGTGTATAGGAATGCCACTGATTTCTGTGCATTGATTTTATATCCTGCTACTTTACTGAATTCCTGTATGAGTTCTAGCAGTTTTGGGGTGGAGTCTTTTGGGTTTTCCACATACAGTATCATATCATCTGCAAAGAGTGAGAGTTTGACTTCTTCTTTGACAATTCAGATGCCTTTTATTTCTTTTTGTTGTCTGATTGCTGTGACTAGGACTTCTAATACTATGTTGAATAGCAGTGGTGATAGTGGACATCCCTGCCATGTTCCTGACCTTAGGGGGAAAGCTCTCAGTTTTTCCCCATTGAGAATGATATTCACTGTGGGTTTTTCATAGATGGCTTTATGATATTGAGATATGGACCCTCTATGCCTATACTCTGAAGAGTTTTGATCAAGAAAGAATGCTGTACTTTGTCAAATGTTTTTTCTGCATCTATTGAGAGGATCATATGGTTCTTGTTCTTTTTTTTTTTTTTTTTTTTACTAATGTATTGTATCACATTGATTGATTTCTGGATGTTGAACCAAACTTGCAGCCCAGCGATAAATCCCACTTGGTCGTGGTGAATAATCCTTTTAACGTACTGTTGGATCCTATTGGCTCGTATTTTGGTGAGAATTTTTGCATCCATGTTCATCAAGGATATTGGTCTGTAATTCTCCTTTTTGGTGGGGTCTTTATTTGGTTTTGGGATCAAGGTAATGGTGGCCTCATAAAACGAGTTTGGAAGTTTTCCTTCCATTTCTATTTTTTGGAACAGTTTCAGGAGAATAGGTATTAATTCTTCTTTAAATGTTTGGTAGAATTCCCCTGGGAAGCCATCTGGCCCTGGGCTTTTGTTTGTTGGGAGATTTTTGATGACTGCTTCAATTTCCTTAGTGGTTATAGGTCTGTTCAGGTTTTCTATTTCTTCCTGGTTCAGTTTGGTAGTTGATACATCTCTAGGAATGCATCCATTTCTTCCAGATTATCTAATTTGCTGGCATATAGTTGCTCATAATATGTTCTGATAGTTGTTTGTATTTCTTTGGTGTTGGTTGTCATCGCTCCTCTTTCATTCATGATTTTGTTGATTTGGGTCATTTCTCTTTTCATTTTGATAAGTCTGGCCAGGGGTTTATCAGTCTTATTAACTCTTTCAAAGAACCAGCTCCTAGTTTTGTTTATCTGTTCTACTGTTCTTTTGGTTTCTATTCATTGATTTCTGCTCTTCTTATTTCTCTTCTCCTGCTGGGTTTAGGCTTTATTTGCTGTTCTTTCTCCAGCTCCTTTAGGGGTCTGGTTAGGTTGTGTATTTGAGACCTTTCTTGTTTCTTGAGAAAGGCTTGTATTGCTATATACTTTCCTCTTAGGACTGCCTTTGCTGTATCCCAAAGATTTTGAACAGTTGTGTTTTCATTTTCATTTGTTTCCATGAATTTTTTTAATTCTTCTTTAATTTCCTGGTTGACCCATCCATTCTTCAGTAGGATGCTCTTTAGCCTCCATGTATTTGAATTCTTTCCGATTTTCCTCTTGTGATTGAGTTCTAGTTTCAAAGCATTGTGGTCTGAAAATATGCAGGATTCTCAATCTTTTGGTACTGGTTGAGACCTGATTTGTGATCTAGGATGTGATCTCTTATTAATGTCCATATTGATTAGGTCCCTGGCAGTTGGTACTGCCTCTTGTTCTTTTTTTTTGAGGTGATTTTTTTCTGTCTTGTCATTTTGTCCAGAGAAGAATAGATGAATGAGAGAACAAAATACTAACAGGGTAACAACAACCCCAGAAAAATATATATTAAACAAATCAGAAGAGACCTGAAACCAGGGGAAAAGAAAGGGAAAGAAAGAAAAAAGAAAAAGCTAAAAACAAACAAACAAAAAAACAGAATATGATCAAATATGATCAGGCTGGTGCATAGATCAGTGCCACACACTAGATTTTGGGTCTATTTTGGTCTGTTAGAAGAAAGTGCCTCCCAAAATTTTAAAGAATGAAAAACTTATATATGTACAGAAATAAGGGTAAATACAATGAAGAGATGGAATATGACTATAAAGATGAAAATTATAAAAGATTTTATAAAAGGAATTGATAAGATTAGAAGTTGGTTGAAAAAAGAAAGAAAAGGATTTTAAAAAAAAGGGGGGGAGAGAATGTGATCAGGCAGGAGACTGGAACAAAGCCATACACTAAAGATTTAGGGTATATTTTGATCTGTTAGAAGAAACTGTATCCCACAATTTTAAAGAGAGAACAACTTATATACATGTACCAAAAATAAGGTTACCTACTATGAAGGGATAGAATATGGCTCTAAAAATGAAAAATAAGAAAGATTTTTTAAAACAGGAATTGATAACATGTTGGTTGAAAAAGGGAAAAAGAAATTTTCAAAAAAAAAGAAAAGAAAAAGAAAGTTAAAAAAATTAACTTTGAAAGACTAAAGAATCATAGGAAAAAAGCGATGAATTCTATGTGCAGTATTCCCCTAGCACTGGAGTTCTTCCATTCCCGTTGATCGGTAAACTTGGTCTTGGCTGGCAGTTCTTGCTGATCTTCTGGGGGAGGGGCCTGTTGCCGTGGTTCCCAAATGTCTTTGCTGGAGGCGGAATTGTCCCGCCCTTGCCAGTCCAGGCTAAGTAATCTGCTCGGGTTTGCTCTCGGGAGCTTTTGTTCCCTGCAAGCTTTCCGTACAGCTTTGGAGGAGGACAGTGAAAATGGTGACCTCCCAATCTCCACCCCGGAGGAGCCAAGAACTCAGGGCCCCGCTCCTCAGTGAGCCCCCAGAGAAAAGCAGTCAGTCACTCCTGTCTCCCCGGTCTCCAGCCGCATTCCGTGCTCACCTGGCCTGTGACTGAGCGTTTCTCTCTGGCACCCGACTCAGTGTAGAGTCTCCAAACCCAGCAGATCCCTGCAGTGTGCTCCCATGCCGCTCCCCCCCAGGGGAGGAAGGGGAGTCTCCCCAGATCTGCTGCTTGTTGGGTCCCTGCTGGAGGAGCAGTGGCCCAACTGTCACCGATCACAGTGGCAACCCCGAGCTGATAGCCCGTGCCTCGGCTCCATCTCTGCAGCGGGCTTTCCCGCTCCAATACCGGGAGCTCTGCCGCACTCAGGCACCCCTGGTCTTTCTGTGACCCCGAGGGTCCTGAGACCACACTGTCCTGCGAGGGTTCCACCCCCTGCTTAACCACTGGAGCGACTCCCTCAGTGGAGCCGATTTCTAAAAGTTCTGATTTTGTGCTCCGCTACTCTATCACTTGCCAGGAGTGGCTGACGGAGGCCCCCTCCCCCACTGTTTTCCCTCCCAAATATCACCTCGGATTCATTTCTCTGCACGTCCTACCTTCCAGAAAGTGGTCGCTTTTCTGTTAAGAGAGTTGCTGCTATTCTTTTCTTCGATCTCCAGTTGAGTTCGTAGGTGTTCAGAATGGTTTGATTCCTTTCTAGCTGAATTCCTGGGACCAGATGAAATTTAGGTCTCCTACTCCTCCGCCATCTTGCTTCTCCCCTCCAGTTAGAGCCCTTTAAAGATAATATTCAAAGAATAAAAGAATCAAAAATATATTGTGCCTATAAAGATTTTTGAAGAAATCAATCTCTAAATAGCTCAATCTTAATTGGATTCAGGTAACTTCCCCCATTCTAACTGCTTACCAGAAGCTAAAGACTCATCTGAAGCCTTTATAGTCTTTCTTACAGTGTCTGGTATACCAAGAGGCAGAACGAAGAAACAGATAATAAAAACAGATCCATAGGTGATCCAGATACTGCAGTCATCAGACAGAGGCTTTAATGATAACTATAATTAATATGTTTAAGACAACAGATGCATTGCTTTTCAAACAAGATCATTGGAATTGATCTTTGAAGAATACTTTGGATTTTACTCAACAAAGAATGTACTTCTCCAAGGACTTGGAGTTCAGATTCAGTTCATTCTAACCAAGGGTGGATCATAGAGATGAAGAACAAAACAGGGAAGGGTCAAATCCAGTGGCATTTGATTCAAGGCAAGATCAAATATGTATAGGTGGGGAATAACTGATTTTTGTTTATCTATTTTAGGATTTCTTCAGTAAATCTGACCCATTTCTGGAAATTTTTCGTATGAATGATGATGCAACCCAGCAACTAGTACACCGAACTGAGGTGAGAAGAGTCATCTTCAGCTTTGCCATCTCATCCCCTAAGATAATAAATTGACCTGTTTCAAGAAGTCCCTTACATATCTTGATGTGTAGCCTGGAATCTTCACTGTCTTTAAGAGGACTCTCTGCCTTTTGTAGCTTTTTTAATTCTCAGTTTAGATATATTACAAGACCCTTTCTCACCCAAATTTTCCATTGTTGACCTTCAATACATTCAGTCAGCAATTTATTAGTAATAAAAATATGAATATTAGCTAACATTTAATGAGAGTGATTAAGTGCCAAGCATCGTGCTTAGTGATTTATATGCGTTACTTTATTTTCTTCTCACAGCAATCCCTTGACATGATTATTATTACCCACATTTTATAGTTGATTAACAGAACCTTTGGGAAGTCAAATGACTTTCCAAGTTCTCATAGTTAGCAAGGGGTAGAGCAGAGGTTTGAACCAAGTTTGTTTGGCCTGAGCTTCACTATAATTTGGGAAACCAATCTGCCTCCACAGTAAAAGTTCATACACCAGGCTGATGTCAGGCCTATCATATGAACAGCTGTCCTATCTCAGCTGCCACTTGGCCTAGCTGCATCTCCTTCTTGAGCCCCCTCCTCTTTCTCCCTGGGGCTCCAAAACTTATCCCTTATTACTACCACCACCACCCAGTACCACACACCCGTTCAATGACCAACCCCAATCTCCACTTTTTATTTTATTTTATTTATAAGCTAGTCCAAGAGAGCCTGTAGGGATGAGAAGTACATTGATAAGGAGGATGTGGGGTGATTGTGATGAATAACAGAGCTGAAAGAAGACTGTTGTATACACACACACACACACACACACACACCACTGGTGGAGTAAATGAAGAAACCCTCATGACTTTCATCGGATGTTTGTGGGGATGCCATGTTCCCACTACCTCACATTAGAAATCCATTTCCATTTTCCTAAAGTAATAGAGTTGCAAGTAGCATTAGGGGAACTTTTTGTGTTATATTTAAGGTAGACAAGAATTAAATAGTCTTGAATGGGCAAAGTCTATGGATATGGTACATAGTTGTCATTTAATAAAATGTGCTTAATAAAAGAATGGATAATGAATGGAGTTGAGTATAGATAATATGTCTACTACATGTTATAGTACAATGTGATTATCTGGAATTTAATCCCTGGGGAGTAGATTGAGGTGCAATAGTTTCCCTGAGTGGCACCAAATTGCCACAACCAAATAGAGTCTTTTTCACACATACAGATTCCTTTGGTGGGACAGACTTCTTCCAGGAGAAGTAAATAAACTTTGGTGAGAATTAGAAGTGTTGTGTCCATTCATTCTTTTGCTCCGGTCAGTGAGTGAGGGCTTTAATGTGCAGACAGAAAGGAGATGGGAGTTGTGTTATTAGACTTCTCTCACAAGATCCCCCTCTCCTCTACTCCTGACAGCAGTCCTTTTCTCATTATTGGAATTGATAAATTCTCCTATTCCCAAGAATCTCTAGAACTCCCATACCTCATTCCTGAGGGGCCTCTGGAGTCTCACAAGAAATGTGATTGTAAAGTTTTCCAATGAGTCAGCAACATGACATCGATTTTTTTCGTCTTTCTTATTCAACAGATATGAAATAAATACTAAGAATACTGTTTTCTTAGGGGAAGAGCACACACACACACACACACACACACACACACAAATTCTAATTTCATAGGAAATTTCTAGTTGAAACTTTAATCTGCTATTGAGCTTTTCAAAACTGTTGCAATGAAATATCATCACTTCTTAGTGTTTTTATATAAAGGTGAGAACTTTAAATTAACCCAAATGCTTTTATCGAATTTTTCTTCTCACTATCACTTTGATCATCCCCAGGGTATCAGGGCACAAGACAAAGCCCCACACGAACATTATTTTTGTACTTTAATGCATTAAAAGAAATTTAATAATTAGAGTCCATGATACAATCAATAATTCATAGTTATATTAAGGAATCCAGTATAAGAGAGAATCACTTATAAAATAATTATGTTATTTAGATAGAGAATTAATTTTTTTATAATGCTAAGACTTCTGCTAACTAAAAATTTCATAGGAAGAAAAATCGATATGACAGAATTGTATTTGACTTCAGTTGTACGTACCCTAGAGCAGTAGTTCTTGAATTTCATGCATCAGAATCATATAGGGGGCCCACCTCCAGAGTTTCTGTCAGGAGGTCTGGGTACAACGTCAAAATCTGCACCTTTTTTTGTTTGTTTGTTTCTTGTGTTCTTTTTATTTTCTTTTTTATTGTTATGTTAATCACCATACATTACATCATTTGTTTTTGATTTAGTGTTCCATGATTCATTATTTGCGTATAACACCCAGTGCTCCATGCAGAATGTGCCCTCTTTAATACCCATCACCAGGCTAACCCATCCTCCCACCTACCTCCCCTCTAGAACCCTGTTTGTTTTTCAGAGTCCATCATCTCTCATGGTTCGTCTCCCCCTCCAATTTCCCCCCCTTCATACTTCCCCCTTCTTCTTTTTTTTTGTTAACATATAATGTATTATTTATTTCAGAGGTACAGATCTGTGATTCAACAGTCTTGTGCAATTCACAGCACTCACCATAGCACTTTTAACAAGTTCCTAGGCGATGCTGGTTCTCCTACTATTCTAAGGACCACACTTTGGGAACCCCTATCCTAAAGTACACAGTACAATTCCAGGCACAGAGCAAATACTCATGTATTCTAAGCCCAGTTGACTTATTTGAATCATAGTGATGGCAGACTAAGATGACTTGTATGGATTCTTGGGCAGGATTAATTAGTAACCTGCTTCCAAAAGGACTTCACTGTTATAAACTTAGTTTGTGACACTAAAGATTTGAAGATCTGCCCTATTTTGCCTTCCTAGGATAGCTGGTATAAGTATACTCCTGGGATTTTTCTTTTAGAAACTTCTCCTCTGACTTGCAATCTGCTCTGACTCGAGGTCATGAGTTACCAAAAACCATTCAATTCTTTAGCAGTAGAAATGACCTACTAACACTCTCTACACCAACCAATGGTCTTTACTTACACTGCCATAGGAATGACAGTCCTATAGAACTGGAGATCCTTTATCAGAGGACAGAGGCAGGCCTGCTTCCTCAATCCTAACTCCATTTGATATAGAAGGGTCATCCCTAGCCTCCACATGCTGGACTATATTACTGTCATTATTTATGAGACAACAGCCAGACCAGTGGCCACAAGAGTTCTGCCCATAATGACCCACTTAATGGGAACCCTTAAAAGATTTTCTACTCCATATTTGCATTAAGACATCTATTCCAGGCAATTGTCCTTTTCATAAGCACCACAATGCTTCTCTAACAGTTTCTATGTTGAAATCTGAAAATGTCAAGTATTTCTTCCCCAACCCACCACTCCTCTTCCTCTCTTTCTTTCCTCAGGTTGTTATGAATAACTTAAGTCCAGCCTGGAAATCATTCAAAGTATCAGTCAATTCTCTATGCAGTGGAGATCCAGACCGCCGGCTGAAGGTCAGAAATCTATGTCCAAGAAATGCAATTGTTTATGTATTTAACTCTCCTCTTTCTCCTCATGTGAATGTTGGCAAACCCAACATTTTCTGTACCACTTACGCAGATCTCTTAGCATCTTGATGGAAGATGCAGGGGCTATTTCCTCTGCAGGAGCCACTGAAGCTCATGAGATAGTCCAAGATAAATCCTGACTGTGTTATGTCAAGAGGCAAAATCCGTGGCTTCTCAGAGAAAAACTGTGGCAATAAGTTCATGGTGCAATTGGGAAATATTAAAAATACAAACACTGTATCAGTTATCTGCTGTTGCATAACAGACAATCCAAAATTTAGTAGCTTAAAACAATAATCATTTATTTAGCTTATGACCCTATGCATCAGCAAATTGAGTTAATCTAGGAGATTCTTCTCTTGGTCTTGCTTGGACTCTCATGTATTTGCAAGGTGACTCTGCTTCTGGGGCTTGACTAGCTTATCATCTGGAATGACTGGGCATTTGAGCCATTTATCTCTCGTCATCCAGAAGGTTAGCTTGGAGACTTATACACATAGTGACCTTAGAGTTCTGAAAGAGCAAGAACAGAAGCTGTAAACAAAGTCTCTTAAGGTCTAGTCACAGAACTCATATGAGGTCACTTCCTCCACATTCTATTGGCCAGAGCAAGTCACATGGCCATCCCAGATTCAAGGGGTGAGGAAATAGACTGCCTCTTGGTGAGAACTGCCAAGTATGGTGACCATTTTTTTCAATCTACCATAAATGCTTTTTGGGTATCATGGGAATATATATGTTGGAAGAAAAGACACCTTGTGAGGGTGACCAAAGAAAAACAAGAGGTAGAATGCCAGGAGCAGACTCCAGGAAGCATTTTTTATGGTCTAAGTTCTGACCCTCCTTCTGCCTTGGGAGTCCAGAAGCTCCATGTTATCCATGCCCCAGAGTTGATTCTACCAATTCAGGATGACTAAGTAAATTCAGTAGAGACTGGAACCTATAAATTGAAAGGCCGATTAATTCATGTTCAGTGAGAAACATGCCCATCAAGCAACCTCAGCATTCACATCAGCTTAATCAAGACACTGTCTCTCTGTGGGCCAGCCATAGGAAAGACAGCTCTCAGAAGGCTGCTATAATAGTCTGACAGCAGAGCCAGGGGTGCTGAATAACAGGGATGGTGAATGGCTTCAGACTCTGAAAGCCTAGGGCCTCTACCTCCACTATGGGAAGATAGGTCCATGAGGCAAACTAATCATCCATGTTCATCTTTCAGGGCACCTAATCCCCTGGAAACTGTTAGATGGGCTTTGCCAGTGTTTGTCTTCGTAACTTTACATTGTCTTCACTCTTTTTGCCCCACAAACCTTCTTCTGATAGAATTCTTTTGATTTGACAGTATTGTCAGATTAGAATCCTGTCTGGTTGATTAGTCCCAGCTTCTTTAATGTGACCTTGTATATCTTTGCTTCACACTGTTCTATGTGGACTCGGTGCTTGAACTCTCAGCAGACATGCTTCCCTCCATGTTCTCGAGGAGCAACTCAGAGTTGTCCCAAATATCTTGTCTCCGATAAGAGCTAAGATATTTCAAGCCTCACTTGCCATTGGGACTGTCTTTCATGTCAAAATCAGGACTCCTGGCTGTTTAGGATTTCATTTGTCAGTTCATATGCAGAATGCCAAGAGCTTCAGCGTCGGGCCCAAGGTGGTGATTGCTGCCTCTATTCTGGGCAGCCTCCCTTCCATTCCCAATGAGATAACTGGCCCTATGTGGGGCAGAAATCAAATAATATGTCCATTAGCCATAGATCAATTTTGTCATAGGGAGTTATGAATTGAATAAAAGGAGAGGGTTGTCTGAAATGGTATAAACAAAAATTCACAAAAGGAGCCCTCTATGGTCTTGTGAGTGTTCTGCTGTCTGTAGGGGAACAAGTGGGAATAAAGGAGGTAGATGATGGGTGATAGATAGATGAGAAAGAAGGAGAAAGAAAGATACAGGGAGTTGGAGAGGGAGAGGGAGGAAGGGAAGAAGGAAGGATCAGGGCTTCTCAACAGCTGCACTGTTGACATTTGGATTTTGTTGTGGGGGCTTGTCCTATGCATTCTACAATGTTTGGCAGCATTCCTGGTTACTAGATGCTAGCAGTACTCCAGCCCCATCAGTCTTACAGCCAAAGGTCTATTCAGACATTGCTAAATATTTCCCGGAGGGTAAAATTACTCCCGATTGAGAACCAATGGTTTCAAACTTAGCATGCGTCGGAATCACATAGAAAACTCGCTGAAACGCAGACTGCTGAACCCCAGCTTCATAGTTTCTGATACAGGAGGTCTACAATGGGCCTGAGAATTTTGCATCCTAACAAGTTCCTGGGTGATGTTGCTGCTGCTGGTTTCAGCCCATACTTGAAGGACCCTGGTGTAGACATTTGCTTCTCTCTCTTTTTTTTTTAAGACTTACTTATTTATTTGAGAGAGGGCATGAGTGAGAGGGGCAGAGGGAAGGGGAGAGAGAATCTCAAGCAGACTCTGTGCTGAGCATGGAGCCCAACACAGGGCTTGATCTCATGACCCTGAGATCATGACCTGAGCTGAAACCAAGAGTTGGATGCTCAACCAACTGTGCCACCCAGGCGCCCTGACATTTGCTTCTTCATGACCACTTTCCCATGGCCTAGTGTCTCCACAGCATTTTCCAGCACCCAGTCTCCCCTTTACCACCACTTTTCTGCCCGCATTCATACCTATCTGCACCGTCCCAGCCTTCTCAGCTTTGCACACACCTCTCTCTCTGCTCAGAATGCGTTCCTCCATCGGCTTTTCCTGAAACATGCTACTGCACTTCAGGTCTCTTAAATCTCCCTCCACTTCCAGAAAACTTTCCTCTTTCACTTCTGTGGGATGCCTTCTAACCCTCTCCACCTACCCCATTAAAATACCTCTCAAGTTGTGGGACGCCTGGGTGGCTCAGTTGGTTAAGCAGCTGGCTTTGGCTCAGGTCATGATCTCAGGGTCCTGGGATCGAGTCCTGCATGGGGATCCTTGCTCAGTGGGGAGCCTGCTTCTCCCTCTCCCCTCCCCCCCATACTCATGCTCTCTCTCTCTGACAAATAAAGAAAATCTTAAAATAAAATACCTCTCAACTTGTTTTGAAAATTTCCATTTACATCTCTGTCTCCTCAGTAGCTGCCTTGTTCTTTCCAGTTTGCCCCTACAGGGTGAGATCCATGTTTTGTTCACTGTGTATACAGGTGTCAAGCACAGTACTTGGCACAGAGCAGATATCCAGTACCTTTTTGCAGAGTGAATGGATAGAGGAGGGAGGGAAGTACTGAGAGGTCAGCGGGGGGTGTCTAACCTTACTGGGGCGGGGGTTGGGGTGAGGTGGAGAATTACCCACACCAGTATTTGGTATACTGGGGTTTTCCCAGTCACAAAGCCTATATTGCACTCACCTGCTCACAATATCCAAATGCAGCTTTTCTGAAAGGCAGGATAGACTTCCTGTATTGCCCTTTATTTGTATTCATTATTTTGTCACAAAGGCCACTGTGAAATTCTCATAATGCTGTCCCTAGCCAGCTCGCTCCAAAATAAAATGGTACCTTATTGGTAGGCAGCATTTTCATCCATATGGGTGTCATTCTTCCTACCATCAAAACACTAGAAAGCAAATTTAAAAATTTTTAATTTTAAAAACTCTCTCAGGTTAGATTTTAAATCTTAGCAAAATTTTAACAATTAGGTCTTTGTGTCAAATGAAGCTTGATATCTTTGATTCTCATTTATTCAGGACCCACGTGAACATGAAGTTCAAATAACCAGCTTTTTATTTTGCTTTTATTTATTCTGTACTGCTCCTTTGTGTAAAAAATAAAAACATTCAAAGAAGCCTTTTCTTCAGAAACTGATGCTTTAACTTATTGTGGAAATGTTCAAACATACATAAAAGGAGAAAGATGATATGATAACTCCCCATGCCCAGGCACACAACTTCAACAATTACCGTCTCATGGCGAATTTTCCTTCACACACAGCCCTAATACCCATTTCCCCCTTCCTCTCCCCACTGGATTGTTTTGAAGCAAATCCCAGACCAGGGCAAACGCATCCATTAAGCACAGTGCCAGGGCCCAGCAGACTTTCAGGAGTCCACGAAGATGTTTTCATTTCTTTTAAGATTAGAAAGGAAAAAATAAACTTGTAAGATTGAATAAAATGTTTTAATTTTTTCTCACCTCAGAAAGCAATGACATTTTTAGGATCCCAAAAGTCGACTATGGTGGGAGGGGACCCATGAAGGCAGAAGTGCTGAGGGCCAATGAAGGTCATGATGTGGCCCTGTCCCAGATATCATTTCACCCCAAAATGCTTCAGTATGTATCTCTAAAGAGTAAGGAATCATTCTATAAACATAACCATAAAACCATTATATGACATCTAATTATATTATATATATAAGAATATTAACTAAGCCTCCTTAATATCATCAAATATTCTGCCACTATTCATATTTGACTGACAGCCTGCCTCATTTATTAAGATATATATATATATATATATATATATATTGCTTTTCTTTTTTTTTCAAATTGGGGTCTAAATAAGGTCCAAGCATTGCATTAGACCAAAATACCTCTGAAGTTTCTTTTAATCTGTTAGTTCCTTCTTTTTTTTTCCTTGCAATTTACTTATTGAAGAAACCATATTGGTTTATCCTGTGGCATTTCTCACATCTGTGTTCCCTATAAGTGAGTAGTTGGGCTTGATCATATTTGAGATCTGTTTTCTAGCAAGAATGCTTTTTATAAGTGATGCAGCTTTCTCAGGGCGTGAACAGTCATTGAGGAACATTGCCTACATTTCGTTAGTTTGTTAGGGTTTTCAAGATGGTAACTTTCCCATTCTATCATTACTTCTTTATTTATTGTTTAATGTCTTCTGTAAAGAAAAACTTTCCCTTTAATAACTGTTTGATTCCCTGAGGTGTGATTCAT